TTTGTTCTGGGCTTCTCTGATGACGCGCCTACACTCATTTACTCTGAACTCATCCCAAGTGCCTTTCTTTCGAAGGTTTTCCCATTCCTTGTCAAGGGCAGCTTGGGCCTTTGGCGTATTGGCTACTTCGGCTTTTGGCACAAGCCTAGCAACGACTGCACTGAACAGTTCAAGAGCAACATCAAATTCAACTTTCTTGATTCGCTCTTTGACCAACTCACGCAATTGCGGGCGATGCGGCTCCTTTGATGACTTGTCCCGTTCCGGAAGAACGGACATCGCAGGCGCGTGCCGGATCACAGGCAATGTCGGCTCGCCCTCGCGGGCGGCGCTAGTTGGCTTTGCACTCGATGCGGCTTCGGGGTGCTCGGATCTGGCCTCCGATGAGACTGTTGTCTCGAGCACAGCCTTCTTGGCATCTGCACGGAGCTGATCTTCATACTGCTGGGTTAGGGCCTTTCGGTCCTGGCTGCCGAGCATGACCCACATGTCGGACGGGATATCGGGAGGCCTTTTGGATCCGGCCTTCCTGCGGACGAGCCGAACCCCATCCCACACATAGCCATCGGGTACTGGTGACCCATCAGGCATTATGCTTGGGTCGAATGCACCGCCTTTATCAGGCACGACAGGCTTGATCTTCGCTTCGGATTTCTCCGATGCGGCAGGTTCCTCGATGTGGGCTTGCCCACGCTCCAACGGCACAGGATCGTTTCGTGTCCTAGCATCGGCAACAGGTGGATGAGATGCAGGGTCTTTCAACAACCTCATCGGGAAGATGAACTCATCAGTCGGAAGCTCAATGCGTTTTGTTCGCTGTACCGTGAGGGACGCATGTTCGATATGGTAATCGAGCCCTTCTAGTTTTGCAACAAGGAACTCGCCTTTCCATGCGAACCCAGGCTGAATGTGGTACCCGAGAAACACGCCTTCATTTGATGTTCCTGATTGTCAGCTCGTGCAGGGTTGTTCCAGAACAGTACCTTTGCTCCGAAAGGTATCTCAGCTTCATCAAAGGTCTTGTGAAACCTGAGGTACCATGGCGAATCGTTTCCGTTCAACTGCGGCAGGATGTTGGTCGCAACTGCATTGTGCTGGATTGCAAATGGCCACATCGACAGTGGGAACCCTGACTGAACAAGATTCGCACGTGCTCCCTCCAACAGATGTCTGATTTCCCTTTCCACGAAAGATTTGGAAGAATCAACATATTCAATGGAGGTCTGATGACGGTACCCCAACTGCTCTATTGCGGCTTTCAATTCCCGGGAGTTATCGGTGTAGAGAACCTCAACCTCATCCCTACCGGAAATGAAATGCTGGATCCCTGCAACGGATTGCTCCGTGCTTTTGCTGGTCGACGGATAAACGTACCTGAACTGCGTATGCACGTCCTTGATCACAAGAGCACACCATTCACCTTTGATACCTTGCTCGATGTTGGCCTTGAGAATCACATGATCAGCAATGATGTGATCTCCAAACGCTTTCGTCTCGAGCCTTCCCTGCCCGCCCTTCGATCTTGCATATGGGGCAAGCATCTTGGCACGTTGGCAAGTGCGGCAAAAGGGATTCTTCGGATAGTGTGCAAACAAGTGCTCTTTGGTACTCGCTTCGGCAACCAGATCTTGCTCTTTGCGGGATCTCACAAACCGCTCAACTTCGTCGTCGGGATCATCACCTTCGTCGATGCCTTCGTCATGAACCGGTGCAGGCGCTGGCCTGGATGCTGCTACTGCACTCAACGATGGCTCAGCTTCACAGCTAGAATCCATGTATGGCACATGACCGTCAACCTTGAGCTGGATCAGAGCACCATCAGGGCGAACCATGGTTGGCGCCTTCCCGGATTCCCAATGGAAGGAATATCCTTGATCCAGACACTTCACACCCAGCGACAGCACTGCGGGAGAACTCTCGAGGATGTAAGGCTGAGCAGGCTCACACAACGCATCGACATTGATGTCGGCGATTTCGGAAGCAGTGATGTTTCCGTTTGCAGTCACAAGGCGAATAGGCTGAGGGGCCTGTTTTCGGATTGCCTTGGACGCATTCCTCAGTGCAGCTTTGCTGATGAGGTCCTGCTCACTACCGGAATCAATGAGCCACACGTCCTTTCCCTTTGGTGCAGGGGTGGCTGCCCTTGGCGCTTCGACATCCTTGCGAACATCGTGAGGCGGCATGGCAATTCTCAGGCACTCATCACACGATAGGCTTGAGATGGAATCGGATTCCACATCGCACATGAAACCACAAGCGGGCTGGGCTCCATTCTCAATGGCTTTGATTACGGCATTCAACTGGTTCGCGGCCTTGCGCGCTGCCTTGTTCGTCCCTTTGGTCGGCCTGGGGCAGTCCTTAGCACTTGGAAACATCCTGTTGTACTGCCGTTCCTCATACTCAAGCTTGAAACCATCGCCTTCGGCGGGGATCTCATGCACATGAGCATTGGTGTCGAATGACACTCCGATTGGATCGATCGGCTTTGCAATCATGGCGTACCTGGTGCAGACTGCAGCGGCTTTGGCCTTGGGCTTAGGCTTAGGTGAATTTGCACGCTTCATAGCCGCAGGATTAGCATTGGCCTCGTTGCTCGATGCCGCGGCGGCTGATTTGCCGCCCGTGGAGGCATGGCTAAACTTGCGTTTGTCACCTCTAGTGCACTTCCCTTGGGCAAAGAAAGAGCACGGTGCTTTCTCTCCTTTATTGCCTTTGGGGGAACTCGGCCTGCCACGGGTCGCGGAGCGTCCTCGCGGCTCCTTGCGGTGCGCGTAAGGGCAGTTTGCCCCCCTCGTGCACGAGCCCTTCTGGAAATCAAAGCAGTACTCCTCCTCGGTGTCCTTCGGCTTAGGTGCACTCTTTTTCTTGGGGTCCCTCTTTTCAGGGGCGGCGGCACCAGCCTGGGGCTTTACTGGCATTGACTTTGGACACGCTCTCGGTTCTCGCGGAGCCTATCCCTCTCGATTAGATCCCTCATGCAACGCATTAGGAAATCGTACGACTTGTTGGGATCATCATCACGGCAACGATCATATGTGTCAATGTCGTACCGTAACAGATGGCAGCTTCTCACTTTCAACACCTTTTCTTCTGGCGGCCTTTTCATGCCGGCGATCACAGAATCCCAAGCGTTTAGAAAACGCTTGAGATCAATGATTCCTTCGCCGTGTCGCGAGACACGCAACAGGTCCTCCAAGGAGTAGAGGTTTCCGGCTTCTTCACTGGTCTTGAAATATTGGTCAAACATAAACAAGACCTGCCTTCCTCTCATGGCCTTTCCCTCCTTGGCACATTCTTCCTTTGCTGTCAGGATTCGCTGAGCCAGATCGCCTTTCGCTGAACGCGTGAGCGCTGCGAGAATCTTCGTGTCTAGGGTCACGAATTTTCCCGGTTCGCCGAGCTCCTCCAACAGCTTCTTCTTGTCCTCGCGGTCGGACCAGACTTCCATGATCCAAGGCCAAGCCTCGTCTGGACGGTCAGATGCAGCGCGGACATCCTCACGAACCGATGTCTTCCATTCACGGTACGTTTCAGGAGTTGGCATCTCCTTGAATCGCAACGTCTCGCTTTCGCGGGTTCTGGGCTTTTCATCGTTCGTGTGGCCTTTCACTAACTTCATCAACATTTTGGCGAAGGCTTCTTGACCGAGGTTAGGCCCGAGGCCATCACCTTCGTCTTCATCACCATCGCCATCGCCATCATCATCAGGTGGCGGACCGCCAGGAGGCTTACCACCCTGCTTACGGTCAGTTGGCATTGGCCCCTGAGAGAATTGCAGGGGCGGGACCGGTGCACTTGTTTTCACCGGGGATCGGCTGCTACCTGATGCTTTTCAGCTGCTCCTTGCGGATCGCGAGCATCTGCGGGCAGTGCTTCGCTTTCGGCAGTTGGAATCACGCTAGGGGTATATTCAACCTCGTAACCGTCATAGGTAACAAGCGACCTCAACTTTTCCTTTGCATATTGAAATGGATTGGACAACGGGTCCAACATTGACCTTTGGGACCGAGCTGACTTCATGTCGTCGGTCATCAACTCTGGTGAATCCTCTCGGGTATCACCTACCCCTTTGGGCTTCGATCCATCCTCGCGGAGGTCGTGTTGCTTCTGATACCTCTTCAGCTCATCGAGCTCGTCCTGCAGAAGCCCGTTTTGGTAGGCCATCATATCAATCATCCTGGCGTTTTTCGCTTCGACACGGGCTGTGTCATCGGCGTGCTTTGCGGCTTGCTCATGAAGGAGCTGCTGGGCTTCCGCCAGGGTGGATTCGATGGCTTGCCTAAACTCAGTTGTTTTGTGTCCCATTTCCACTTCATGCAATGCTTGGGCGTTTTCCTCACACACTTGGCTTATCCTAGCTTCAGCGAAGTTCACTTCTTGGATGAACTCATCGCTCACTCGCTGTTCGTATTCACGAATTCTATGCGACTGGGCTTGCACACACTCAGCGTAGTGTGCATGCAGCTGATTCTGTGCGACACGGAGCTCCTCACGGTTTTCCGCTTGCAAATGCGTGACAGCTGCTTGATGCAGGGCTTCGGCTTCAGACCTAATGGCTGCATCATTCCCAAAAGCAAAGATTGCGGTATTGTACAGTTGAAGGGAATTCATCAGGGTGCGGTTGTACTGCGCATTAGCGCTTGATGCGAACATTCGCACACCGCCGCCGGTGGCGTTGTCGGAGCTAGCTCCGGCAGCATCCACAGGCATGTTGGATCCATCAACTGGCACAAGGGAACCGTCCATTGCTTAGAGCTAGGGGCCTACGGCTGATAACCTATAGATTCAAGGGTTACCGGTTTGGGGCCCAAAAGGAAACAACAAACCGTCCAAGTGCGCTGCTCGCACATTTTCACGCTTGAACAGCCACACTGCGGATGCAACGGATGTAAAACCCCATATTGACCGATCAAATTCTTCATAAAGCGGGTAGCACCGCTCCGACAACCTTTTTTTCCCAGCTCGCTCCGTCTAAAGCCGCTCCGTCTGGGGCCTCCGGCGGCGTCCAGCAGCAGGACTTCTTGGAAGCCGCTGGCCAGCAGGGCCAACGGCTTCACCTGGCGCTGAGGCGCGGCGAAGGCGCGCAACTGGATGTGAAAGACCGGGGAAGATTTGGTATGGGGTTCTTGGTTGCGAAATCTGCTTTCGCCCTGCTAAAAGTGACTAACTTTTAGCGGTTTAGTACGGAAAACCAGGGGTAAGATTAATACTGTGGATGGTTGCGAAATCCATGCAACGCACCACCCGAGAAACCCTGGAATGAGTCGATTCACCTGTAAATACCAACAAACAATGGTTTCCACCACGGTTTCAAAGTGGTGCAAGATTTCGTCCATCCACAGTATTGGGTTGATAAATAGGCTGGGGCAGGGGGAGGAAGGCCTTATTAGAGGCTTAAGGGCAAATTCGGGCTCCCTCCCCCTGCCCTCCCTGCCCCCCAGCCCCCATGAAATATGGGGGTGATTAATATGGGGCCAACACTACTATTGTTATAATTGTCGTTATTGTTAATGCTATTGTTATTGGTATTATTGATGTCAATGTTGATGTTAATATCATTATTATAGTATTGACATCTGTCAACAGACTGCCAGCACTCACATCAGGCAGCAACAAAAACAGGACCAACGCCACACAGGGAGGTCACATCACTTACACCGCAGCACTGGATAAGCAGGTGACTACTGGCAGGTGAATACAAAAGGTGCCAGGGTCAGAACACACAGGCAATACAGGAAGACACTCTTCGCACCATCAAGAACACGGTGTTCCCAACAGAACAACTTGAGGACTACAGTAGATTGACCATAGGTTCGAAGATGGTACAACGACCACATTTCACGACACAACCGAAGAGCGCACCAAAGACGGTCGGACAACAAGTTCCTCAATACAGCTCGCACACACAAGATTCTGAGGAAAACAGGCACCACCAACAACACAGGAGACAGTAGCACCACACACCACCACAGGTGCAGCTGGACATGGACTGCCACATCCATCAGGAGTACACTATGAAGGAGATTGATGGTACAGAGAAGGCCTATAGTGGAAGCCAGTACACATCGATCCACGCGCAGCATTGTACACACGACGGCCCAGACATCAAGCCGCTAACACCTCGGAGACAAAGGCACATCAGCTCGCTGAAGAGGGGAACAGGGCTGTGGGAAATGACCACTTCTGTGACACAACAAAAAGGGTTTCCCAATGACTAACCCCCCCAAATGAAGGGGGAGTTGTATCACAGAATTGGAAATAAACCCCGAGTGATCTCACAATCATGCTGAGGAACAAGATCGCCTGCAGGACTTTCCACGTGCATCCATTACCACACAGCGTTACAGAGCCTCTCAGGCAAACGCGGTATCGGTACATCGGGGGATTTGGTCGCTGGACTATCTGGGTACAGTGAGAACTGCATTACAGCAGAAGAGACATGATCCTCAGTCAGCATAGTGTCTACAAGTTGCTGCACAAGCCACGACCGTCAGTCGTACAGACTTCAAAAGCAAGAAACATCGATGGCCTACATCGCTTACGTCATCTCTCCATCCCGATCAGAAGCTGTACATGCCTGCCACATCTATGATTTCAACATGCTGCACTTCAAGGAATGCAACAGGCTGAGAGGAAGTGCTAAAATGCGCAGGTGTATAACCATGCACACTACGTGAGTCGCAATCAAAACCTGGTACTAAAATGGTCTACCCAGAACCATGCAAAGAACTAAGAAGGCGGATATCCGCAGCTATTTCTGGCTGGGATCGTCCCTTACTATCCTTCATCTACCCGAATCGGTTTTGATTGTGGATCTTGAGCCTTGCAGCTTCTGTACATTGCCCGGAGGGAACTGCAGAGTGCGTCACTTCACACACTGGTCATTCACTTGAGGTAGACAGGTATAACAGTCGCTCCCATTTTAACATTATATATATATATTATAACAATGTTGACCCATATCAATCAACCCCTGTTTTTTTTTTTGGGGGGGGGGGTCCCTGGTTTTACCAGGGCATCGTGCCACTTTTGCAGGGGCCAACAACCACCCCCTTTCCCCACACACTCCCGGTTTTTGTGGAGGAATCATACCACTTTTGGATCCTCCAAAAACCTTTTTTCCATACACTCCGCTTCTGGAGGGGCCAAAAACCTTTTTTTCCATACACTCCACTTCTGGAGGAGCCCACTCCACTTCTGGAGGAGCCCACTCCACTTCTGGAGGAGCCAAACCCCCCCGTTTTCCATACACCGGGGTTGATTCTTGTTCCGGGCTCCTGAAAATCTCCACGTTCTTTCGTCGATTTGCGGACCTGGGAGCCCGGGCCGCCCAGACCTCCGGGCGCCTGCGCGGCAGTGCCTCGCGAGCTCGCTCCGCACCCAGGAAGGAAAACTATGGGTGAGTGGGTTGTACTCACTTAGGAGACTTTATTTCACCATGGCTTTGGGTTATCTCACCATGGTTACTAACCAGTTACCTGACGTACCCGATCGCCCCTTTAAGTCATTCTAGTGCTACCTTCCGCATTTTGGAACCGAGGGTGACGCCTGCCACCAGAAAATGATCCTTGGACTGGGGCTCGCGAGCTTCAGTAAAACTCGAGCGCTACCTTCCATTCTAAACCCAGGGATCCGAATCTTTCTAGACAACCTCCAGAAACCCAGGGAAACGGATCCGGTTTTCAAAAAGAACGATGGTTGGAAAGAATGGGGAGTCATGCAAATGTCTGTTCCAGAAGGAAGCCATTCATGAGGTTGCCGACAAGCCCATCCGGACAACTTGCTGCAATTATTATTCCAGGTGAGGGGCCTTGGAGAAGCTCGTTTTGGCCCCGAATAAGCTCATGTTGATTTGTGCAAATGGACGGTTTGGTGGTTCTCCTTTGCATTTCCTGACCCAAGCATTTCTAGCCAACTCTCGGTGAGAAACATGAATTTACTGGGGTAACCTAGGCTATTCTTCTTTCATCGCCTTCATTAGGGGCCCATTGATGGACATCAGACATATGTGAAGGTTTGCGCCCACCCAAGTTGTGGAGAATAAGTTCACCGGAGTAGTGGGTCGGTCTCCAACAACAGAGCCCCCTATGCGTGCTGTCCCTTTGGGCAAAAGGAGGGGAGGGCCCCCAAGGACATGCTGTATCCATTGGGGACCTGGCGCACATCCAACCACATGGCAACCCTTCGAATTTGCCCATGAATCTCATGCAAGGCTGCAGGAATCTCTACTTAACATGGTTAGAGTTAGGCCCAGTTATAGAATGCATCTTTTACTGTTTGCTTCAATTTGAGTCACTGGAAAAATGCAAAATGCATTCCAAGTCTACCCCAGGTAAAATGGTGAACGGCATGGCGCATCCAACTGGTTCCCATCCAAACAGTAAGCATCCAGGACCCAGTCCTCTAGCTAGGATGGTGAGTGTTTCAGGGGTGAAGCGGCTTTGGTGCATTCTTTTGATATTGCCATGGGTCAAAACCCAAATCGTACCCCCAGTGAACATCCCAATCCAACCACTAAAATAGGTTCTAAAATAGGTGGTGAATTCACCTATCCCAAAATCGTGGGTGAGATACAACTGAGAGCTTGGGCCACCAAGTTGCTCTCCCCAAGAGGGCATGGGCAAGAGAGTGAGTCTGGCGAGTTCCCTTCTTTTTTTTTGGCGAATTCGCTGAGTTCCCCATGTCCGTCCCGAATGCACGATAGACTAAACCTAGACAACTGGTAGTTCATGCCACTACAAGGTAGGACGTGGGGCCTCTACCCCGCATCCTTTCAACTTCGAAAAGGAACGGGCTTGGCAATCCAGAGGATGGGGAATCAAATTCACTGCCTGAAATATATCAAGATCCCCAAATCCCAAGAAAGGAGGCTTCGAAAAGCTTCTGCACAACCTAGCAAGCTTGCCATGGCACTCGAATACAAGAGTGACATGCACTGCAAGGTAAGTGGGAGCGTGACGAGGTGCATAGCTGGACCCTTCCTCTTTGCGACAAGGCTGACCGCGATCTCGACCAAGTGAAACAGCGGCCAAAGAAGCAGAACTGTCGACTTGGGGGGTCGATCAAAAAGTCCTTTACATAGGATGGCCATTGGTTGGAACACACTAAAACGATGATATACGATGATATTCCCCACCGAAAAGTTACCCATGGTCAAAACTGGGGGCCCATTCCTGGAATATAACCTCAAAAAACGCGGAAACGTGTCCTTGGCTGCCAATCTGCGACTCCTTCTCGCGAACTCAAGACCACACGCATACATTAGAACTTGAACCAAAACCCGCCCAAAACGGCGGGCTAGTTCTCCTTGTTCGCACACAAATCCAACCAAAAACACAATGTGTTGTTTTCCATGTTTCGCGCCAACACCCTACACAAAAAAAGTTGGTTTGTTCCGTCGCTTGCGCCAAAACTCGACCAAAAACACACGGTTTCTTTCTGAAAACAACACCTCACCTTCCACCTGCGTTTGCGCAACCTGGAAAGGTACAAAACAATCTTTCCCGTGAAATCGATGCCCTTTGAAACCAACCGGGTTTCAAATCAAAACAAAGAAAACATTTCAGCCATAGTGGAAGTCACCCACCCGGGCTCCTCCCATCGAGGACCGAGGCCCCCGGCCAGCGGCAGCTCCCGCAGCTGGGCGCCGTCCGGCAATCCCTCGGCCGCGGAGGTGTCCTGCGCGCGCGCTCCGCGCGTTCGCCGCGTTCGGCGCGGCGCGTTTTGCTTCGGAGTCGAGGGAAACGCAGTTTGCCCAGACGCTCCTGGCTTGGGCTTCCAATGGAAGACCCAAACCCTCCATTGGTTTTACCCCAAAAAGGTGTTGGGGTCTCAAACCCTGGCTGTTTCAGGGCCCAAAATCAATTGGGCATGGGTCAAAATTAAACCATCAGGGGACCGCAGGTTTTAGTCTATGTTTCCGTTTACCAGGGCTTCATTTGAATTTGGGTACCTATTTACTATTGTTGACCCACAGCCAATTGGGAGCGTCTGGGTGGTGGCGAAAAGTGGAGTTGGAGCCCCCTGGTCCTGTCGCCTTTCCGGAGTCGCATCATCCCAGTGACGCCCCGTGTGATTGCGTAGTGCTTGTGGGGAGTGTTTGGTTTGTGGAGGATGCCTCTTCTCCCGAACGTGGACTCGGGTTTCGCCGTTTCGTATGACTTCCGGTGACATCCACTGTGAAGCCCTCGTTGGTGACGGTGGTTTGGGTCGATATTCGGGACGTGTCAATGCGCTTCCTAGCAGTCAGCGGCAGGCGAACTTCCGGGCGTCGCGAGCCTTTGGGCAAAACAAACCACGAGGCTGCTTTCTACACGAGTGTTGCACGAGCTGCTCGCTCGCGATGCCCTTTTCTTGCTACTTTTTGCCGGGGCCAATCCTCTCTGTCTGGGCTCGTTGATTTACCAGTGTGACTCCTTGGCGTCTACACATCCTTGTTTGTGGCCCTTTATACTGGGCTGCCCTCAGATCCCTCGCTAAAAGTTTAGCTTTTGGCGGTTTAAATGGAAACTACCACTAAACACTACAAGGCTAAAAAGCTAAGGGGATGGCTGGGAGCCACCAAGTATTCTGTAGTTTCTGCAAGGTTCACTGACTGTTGCAAATGGAGGATCATGTTGACACGCTCGCCAGGTTCCGAAGTTCCTTGATGCATGGGTGCTTGAAGACATGCCTTTCCCCACTTGGTCTCCACTAGCTGGGATTGTGCTGAGTCTACCCAGAGTCTCCAAATACTGGGGTCATGGTCCTATTTTTAAAGGGTCATGGAGACTCTAGGTAGCTAGTTGCTGTTTACTGCCACGTGCGGAAGCCACGACTTGCGGGTCAGCAGAGAAGAACAGTGGTCATGGCTCTCCTAGAACACCAATTGGCCATAATTTGTGACGTCAGACCCCTTTACTTGGGACTGCTGGTCATGAACCCTTTCGTAGGGATCTTCTTCAAGTTGTCACGGTAAGGCTTCCTAGATGGGACAGTCCTGTGTTGAACCCTCCAAAGGGTGGTTTTCCTTTTGGCTTCCCTTGAAAACAACCACAAAACAGGTACCCTCAAAAGAAGGACACACCCAGACAAGTTCAAAGTGAAGGACAGTGTTGACCGCTTGGCACATCCGGGTGGGCAAATCTGCGGAGAGGCTCAACCCCGCGCAAGAAGTGCAAAACAGTTTGCTGTAAAAACATTAGGCCTCCCGAACAGTGTAAGTCCAAAATGTCTTCCAAAGATCCAGCCGAGCAGCCAAGTTTGGTCCGGGACTCAGCTAAGCTGGTAACGCCGCGTTTAACCAACTTGCCGTTGTAAGTCCACATCTGGGCCGGTCTTTCATTTCCTGAGGCTACCCCTTTGTGCTTTGAAAGAGAACCCACAAGGAACACCGAAATCCGTTTTGCGCCCATTTGATTATTTCTTTGAAGGGGGGGAGTCTGATTCAACCCCGTGTTTCAGCTTCCCTCGCGGAGTGGTTTCCCATCCACCCTCACAAGCAGGGGTTAAAAATCGAACCACCAATCCAAACCACCAATAGAATGTAGCCTCAGTGCTGCCCCGCCATTTTGGGGGTCCCGGCCCGAATCCTAAACCCAGAAAGTCCAAGTACCTCATGAGGATGGCCTAAAAGGGGTGTAAAAAGGGGTCGTTCAGTACCTCCTTAGAAGGTGCCAAGGGACCCTCTGGGACAGTCAGAAACAATAGAATGATTCGATTCCCCTGTAAATACCAACAAACGTTATGGCTTCAAAGTAGTGCGAAATGGATCTTCCGTCCATCCACCGTATTTTTGTTTATATATATATATATATATATTAAAAAAAAAGGAGAAACCAAGAAGAAAAAAAGGAAAAAAACGACGAGCGGCCCGTCCGCTTCCTCCCCGGGCAAATGCCAAAGCTCCACCGCCAAACGGCAGCCCTGGGCCCGGAGCAGCCTGCAGCTTGTGGAGTGGATGGCCCACACTTCAAAAGTTTCCCCACCCCACCCCACCCAAAAACAAGAACAAAAGCACAAAAACACCAACAGCTCTGGAAGTTTCCCCCAAAAAACAGAACAAAGTTGGTGTTTTCCCGAAAAGCAGACACAAACTTGTGATTTCCCCCCCAAAAAAGAAAAAGCGGGGAAAAAACAAAAACAAAAACAGAAACAGAAACACACTGGTTGTTTTCCACCCAAAAACAACAAACTTGATATTCTCCCCCCTCAAAAAACAACCTTGATATTTCCCCCTCCCCCGCCACAAAAAGCAAACAAAACACACACACACACACACACACACACACACACACAAAAACACACACTTCCTGGAGTCTCCATGACCCGAATCAACAATAGGTCCATGACCCCATGATTTGGGGTAATGACCAACCATGTTTAAAGGGTCATGGAGACTCTAGGTCGTTATTTCCCAAAAACACATATGCAAACTTGTGTTTTTCCAATAACGTGGTCTTCCCAAAAAAGTTTGAAGTTCAGGAACTCGGGATTTGAGTGAACGCGAAACAAAAAGCAAGGCTGTGGGAAATGACCGATTCTGTGATAGACCAGAAAGGGCTTCCCAAAGACTAGCCCCCCCATAAGGGGAGATTCTTTTGTATCACACATAAACCCTAAGTGATCCCACCACTCTAGTTCAAAGGGAAAACCAAGAGACCATCACCATTTTGGACTGTCCATTTTCAGATCCCCTGCCAAAGGTGAATAACTTTGTGGGTTAAATGCGGACACCCAGCCACTCTTCACCAACCAACCACCTAAAAAAATCCTAAGGAGCTGGGCGGCTGGGAACCGCCGGAAGGGGAGGTTCCCCAAATATCTGAAGACATGCACAAATGGCTGTGGCTCCAAAAAAGAACGGAATTCCAAAATGGGTTGCCCTGGGAAGTGGAAACATGGACCAAAACCTGCGGTTTGCCCCTCCTGTTGAATTTTGAGCCACGCCCAAATGAATCTTGATTAATTGAATACGCCCACCTCTTTCTGACAGAAATGGGTGAGCCAATGGCGGCAAATGAGTACTTGGATGTTCGATTCGAACTGGTTGGCCACCCGGGGTATAACCCACTAACTGGATTAACCCCACTTAATGAGGCGAAGAAGTGGGCTAGAGCCCAGATTACGGACAGACCGAACACCCAAGTAGCAGGATATATAAATATGATTTTGGTGGTCGGAACCCGGTTTTTAGATTATACCCGTTTAAAAAGGTCCTGGAAGCAAAAAAAACGCTTCGAGCCGGCGGTTCATGTGCCTTTGGTTTGGCTTCAGCTTTCCGTTTGGAAGCCCCAAGTGGACACATTCCAAGGATGCTGCCGACGGGGCACCCTCCGCTAAAGGAAACACCTCCAAGTTGATTTGCCTCTTTTCCTTCCGGCAAGGCCATACGCAGAACCAATATGCCGAAACAAGAAGACACTGAAACTGCTGTGTACTTCACAACCCTGGCGTCGTGCTCATGTCAACCAGCCAAGCCTTGCGACATCAGCTTGCAAGAAGTGGCCGCATGATTTTATGTGTTTTTTTTTTTCCAAATGCATCAAAGTTGCAACCAAGTAGCAACCATTGACATGCTCAGTTGTTCAGTGACCGTGGAAAAAAGGGAACCCTTTTTAGGGGAAGACCCTTTTTAGTGGGGCGGCCACCAAAAAACAGGGAAAAAGGGTGCCACTGAACAACTGAGCATGGTAACGTAACCTACGCGCCTTCGTCTTTGACCCCCACAAGAGGGTCGAAGGTCGAAGCTTGCGCAAGCTACAAAGTGCTTGGACCAACCGGCTACCCCCGAACGGCTGAGCTCGCTTCCTTGTGCAAAATAGAACATGCCGCGATAAAATATTGGCTTGATCCATAAAATGGGTGGGCTCATGTGTGTTTTTCCCTCCAGCTGGGGCAGCTTTCGGGCCTTTGCCCAGGTTTTGAGCTCTTGGGACCCATGGTTTTGCAGCTTTCAGGAAGGGCTCCAGGGTGAGGTGTTGATAGCGTCTGCGCTGCGAAAAAGAGGTTTGACTTACCCCTTAAAACTCCAAGCCCAGGGGAAGTTAATCTTTTACAGACATATAGCCCATATTACCCCCAAAAAGTTGAAAAGAGGTAAGTTGACTTTGCGGGTGAAATGGAAACTACCAACTACCAACCAACGAAAGACCTAATCTGAGTTGAACCGGACGATTCGCTGGCTCCGAGCCGCCGAGGTGCTTTTTTGTTTCGGTTCTTGTCAGCTTCCCTCCAACCGGTTTGGATTGGGTGGTTAAGGAGGGGTTTCCCCATCTTTCTTCCCGTAGCCGCTTCAAATCCTAAAACCATCCAGGCCACCGAAACTTGAGGGAACCTGAGTCTTGGATCAGAAGATCTCTCAGCCACCGTGAGTTTTTTTGCTGGCGTTCGGGAGTGAGATATGGAATGAACCAGGGGATTCCCGAAAGGAAACCATATTTGAAACGGTCATATGCCATGTCTCATTGCCTGCTTAGAGGGGCGATCGGGCACGTCAGGTAAGTGGTAAGACTTCTAACCCTGGCTTTTGTGGGTTATAACCATGGTCACTCACCACTTACCTGACGTGCCCTTCATCGATCGCCCCTTCAAGTGCCTATCGCCCCAGCCAAAAAAAGAAGACGACGAAACTCGATTCAGTCGAAATCTGTCCTTGGTTGCTGTTGACCCCCCTGCAAAAAGTGCTTCACTTCTTGGGGGTTGAGTGGAAAACTCGATATCAACCAAAAAGTTAAAGTCTAACTTTTTCCAAAACAGGTACCCCAAATGGAACCCTAAGTGGAGTTTATGGACCAACACCTGCGCTCCAATTGGTGGTAAGACAAATTGACCCATCAGTCCTCACGGCCACCAGCGCCAGCTCGAGGTAGGGCCCTCCGGCACAGATCACGATGCCGCGGCCCGGGTGCACCTGGCGCTGAAGGCTTGCGATCGCATCTCGCGAGAGAGGCGGTCGCTGGGGCCCTGAGACATGGAAGGACTATTGTAGTAGGGAAACCCTGGCCCAAAAAGAGAAACGGCAATAGGGCACTGGGGACAATAACAAATATTCATTGCAGCAAATGCCTAGAGTTTTTTTTCTGACCCTCAAAAAATGGTTGGTCATTAATGTTAACCCCGGATTAAGCAGAACGCCTGGTTGATGTTCATCGGGGAGTGTCCAATTCCTTTTAGTTAGTGGAGATTCAGACCACCTTTGGAGGGAACACCCCCCTAATAGTGGGACGGGTTTTCAACATTACCTAGAGTCTCCTTCTGACCCGAATCAAGAATGGTTGGTCATTACCCGAAAAATAGTTTGGTGGACCTATTTTTGATTTGGGTCATGGAGACTCTAGGTATAAACCATACAACTGGTTTCCTGAAAAAGGACACCCCTGGGTTCATTCCCTCATTGAGCACCAGCAAGAAACGCATGGTGGAGGTTTAACTTGTTGATTGGGGCGCCTTTGGTGGACATCACGTAGGCGATGTACGTCCAACCATTCAGGGGACCCGGTCCCCGTTTAGAAAAAACAAAACATCGCCCTCTGGCCATCTGGGTCTACGTCTTCCGAGTTGGTACAGGGAAACGGAAGGGAACCCACCAGACCACCTCGGTGTTTTTGTTTTTGTTTTTTTTTGCGGGGGAGGGGAGTGCCCTACCAAAAGACAGGCCCATATGGGTGTGTCTCAATGTTTTTGGGGGGACCCCACCCAAACAATGCAATGTGGTGTTCCTTTTGGTGTCCTTTTCAAACCATCCAACAGCGGGTCCAGTCTTTGGAGACGCCAAACACATATCTGTTCTGTTTCATGCCTAGTCAACCTGAACAATACAAAACCATTTTCGAGGAGACCCCGCAGGGGTGTCCTTGAATTGAGGCTGAGTACCGTGCAGTTGGTGTTTTTGCCGCCAAACGCAGCCGCCCCAAACCCATCACAACGATCTATTGGGCGGCTTCCATTCTGGGCGACGTCCCCTTCTGCCCTACCCAAATCGGTTACTATTTGTTTTGGCTCTGGGGGGGTCTGTAGGAAACACGAAGCCAGGCTAATCCCTCTAGTGACCCGGGGCCCCGGATAGAGCAAGGGGCATTCTACACATATTCATGATACCCCCGGTTCGTGGTTGGGATTGGTGTTTGGGGTAAATGGGACACCACCCCTTACCCACCAAACACTCCAAACCAGGGGAAAGCTGTCTTATTGGTATGTGCCTGCGCGCACCTCAAAGTGGGTTCTTCCATTTGGTCAAGACCCCTGGAAAAAAGACAAACATATTGCCAGTAGTGATAAACTCCTGTTAAAACCAGCAAGGTCAAAAAAAGAGAAGCTTAAACAAATGGAAGGGTTGGACCCCGAGTTGAGCCAGCCTCGGCCAGAGAGGAGTTTTCACGTCGCGAGTTCGCGGTGCCAGGCGCCCAGGAGAAGAAAAAAACGTCACGGACTGAAATCCCAGCCCTGTTTATAGGAGGGGAGGGCATCTTTGACTCCGGGTGTGTCCACTTACTCCAAACCATTGATGCCAGTTTGACTCTCTCCAATGCATTAAGACTAAGGTCCTGTGGAAAGCTTAGAATAAGGGTACCAACTCTTTTTTTCAGTTTTGTCTATTTTAGTAGCGGACCCTCCCAACCAAAAAAGAAACGGGTGAGAAAGGGCACCTAGCTGGACCTAGAAGACTTAGATCCCGGCAAAAACCGAAACCTCCATGGCTTTCGCCACCGTTTTATCCCCTCGATCGCTGTCCCTCCTCTGGGCGTGCTCATCTCATGGGGGCTGGGGGGGGGGAGCCTCCCCTCCCTCCCCCCCAGCCCCCATGATCAGACACCACAAAGAGTGTTGGTTCATTTTGACGGCAGGACGGTTTTGGGTCGAAGCCGAATGGAGGGTGCAACCTGCCGAAAGCCCGAACATGGATGGAGCTGCCCGGCCCCCGCCGCCCGCCTCTCCGCAAAGCTCACGGAGGTCAGGCCCTCCCGGAGAGAAACGCCGAGTGGAGGGGGTTCTTATACGTCTTCGAGGTCTGTGGCTCCTGGGTCTGTCCTTGTTTTGAGAGTTGCTACCCCGTTACGCATACAGAAGGGGCGCCAAAAAATACGTTTTTTTTTTGTGTTCTTTTGAAGGGAAACAAAGGAAGACAATCCCGTTCTGCCATTGGTTTCGTTTTGGGGGGGTCCCCTAAAAGGATGGTATGCACCCAATATCTTCTTCAAAGCCCAGCTCCAACTGAAAGACCTAGCGGGCAAAGGGCTTGCTACCTCCTCAGATGTACTCTTTGTTCAGCGCCAAGATGCAACATCTAGGTCCTCAAGTAGAGAGATTAGAATAAGGGTACCACCTCTTTTCAGGACGTCTATTTCAGTAGGGAAACTCTCCCCCAAAAAAAGGGGAGAGAAGGCAACCTAGCTGGGGGACCTAGACATGGTCTTAAACCTTGACCCACTGCCAACTCTCTCAACGGCTTTCAACCGCTGCCACGAAGGGTTGAAGGATAAAAACCACGCCTCAGAGAAAATGCCGGTCGCTTTCTGTTTTATGACTTGCCCTTGGGCTTACCATGGGAAACTCACTACGTCTCCGGACCCGCCCTCACTGCGATTTGGGAGGGAAAGAACATGCCGCGATTCTTTGGGAGAGGGCCTTGGTCTCCTTGGGTCTTACCCTTGACCTTCTTAAAGGGGCGATCGATTCGGTACGTCAGGTAAGCGGGTAGAGAGGTCAGAATAAGGGTACCCGGCTTTGTTTTTTTCCCGTCGTCTATTTTAGCAGAGGAGCCAGGAACGCTCTTTTCAAAGAAGAAACGGCAAAAGGGCACCTAGCTGGGGGACCTACAGTTACTATAGCCACTTACTAAGCACACCGCCCCTTTAAGTTGGCCCCTTTGAATCTCCCGCGATTTTCCAGCTTTGGACCCCGCTGGCCACAACGGTCGGACTGTCAGAGCTGGTGCCGGGCAGTATCCTTGGGGCTCAAATCGTTTTCTGATCCCCCCAACCATAAGGACCTGGTTGACGTTGGAAGGGCAGCAAAAATGAATAACATCTAGCAGTTTTAAGTGGGCATTTCAACCACTAAACCACAACAAGCAAATATGTAAAATGTTTCCCAACAACAACCATGAGGAGGGAGGTGGGCTCAAGGTCCCCACCCCAAAGTTCTGGTTGTCCTTTTCTGGGCTGTTCGTTCTGCTCAAAGCCCTTTTAGCTTGTGTGTTAAATACGGAAACCCAACCACAAAATCAGCTAAGCACATCCAACAGTTTTTCTGGCACCTGCCACATCCAGTGAGACAACTTTACTTCGAGGGTTTTTGATATCCTGAAAAGGCCCATGGACGTTGCCAGGTCGCTGCGTGCCGCTTTTCCACCGCGAATCTCCCAGGCCGTGCCCAGGGAAGTTTGGACAAAGTTGCCAAGTCGGAACTCTTAGTCGCTCCGCAAGAGAAGTATCGCGACGCTGACAACCTCTGGCACGAGCAGCATAGCGCACGCCAAGAGACTCAATAGTTGCTCATTGGAAAGCGGTTTCCAGGGAAAAAGTCCTTGCTCCCTTTTCAGCTTGTCCTCACTTTCCTGAGTGGATTGACAGCGAGCCCAAACTCTGTGCTTGCCACCAACAGTCGACCAGACCCAAAAAGTTACAATCCAGCGCATCATAGCGTAGGTGTCCTTGAAAACCCAAGGAAAAGAGAAAACAAAAATAATCTTCCGTTTGCTTAAGCCTGGAAAAAACCATAGTTATGTCCAGCAGTGTTAGATTCCCTGTAAAGAAGGCTTAAAATACATATCTATACACATATATATATATATCATATATATATATATATATATAATAATATAATATATATATATATAATTCAGCAAGTGGAGGTCATCCTTTGGCCATCGCTCTCGCCGCACCATGCTGGATCGACATTTCTCTAGCACAATTTCTCTGGCACCAGGGCGACGCCGTGTTGCGGCGAACCAGCGAACAAAGCGCCCAGGCCCTCAGGTAGCGCGCCGAATAGGATTTGGACCCGTTTCTCTGAGCTGCCCGTTTTCAGATCCCCCCGCTAACAGGTTTTTTTTTCGTGGGTTAGATGCGGAAACTACCACTAAACACTCAAAAGCTAAGGAACCGGATGGCTGGGAGCCACCAAGTTCTGAGGGCACGGCCATCTTTGTTTTGAGGGAACACATAGAAATGCATGTTTCCCGGGGGTCTTAGCCCAGATCCTAGGTTTGGCATGGGGTTTGGCATGGTCCATGGGGTGGGGGGTTGGCGGTTTTGTGTGGTGTTGGTGGGATCCCCAGAGAAAAGAGGAGATGAACCAGGGCGAGCCTCAAAATGGTAGGGGCGTGGCACTGGCCTACCTTAGGCAAGCATCAAACTTCCAGCACAGTACAACATGGTCGTGTGTAGCCCATGAGGGTGGATTCCCTAGACCTCAATGCAAGTCTCAAAATGCCGAGAAAGCGGGCCTGGGCTCGCTCACTCCATCTCCTCGCCCGTCAAAAGTCGTGTCCGGAGGCTTGAGATCCCTCGCCGCAACAATCCCGGGAAAACCAGATACTGCGCTCGAGCCCAACTCCTTTGAAGGCTGCCCGTTCTCAGATCCCTCGCTAAAAGTTGTTTTAACTTTTAGTGGGTCAAATGGAAACTACCAAACTAGGAACACGGCTCATATTCCGCCGTGAGTCAAAACAGGATTTCAGTTGCACAAGTCAAGAATAACACGTGTTTTCCTATGGGAAATCCCAATGAACCGAAGCCTTAAGTGATTTCCGTTCTTTTCACGCGTCCACCCCAAGCAGGGTTACTGTCTTCGTTGGATTTTCCCAATGAAAAACAGGGTTTTGTTCCTCGTGAACTACTTTCAAGCCGGCACGATGCACTGCTTTCTCCCAATCAAACACCGACTGCGTTCCTTGTCACAGCAAAGCAAGTGCGCGTGAGCGGGTCTTCTTACCATCTGGGGCATGTGTGCACTGCTGAGCGAGCGGGTGTGCTTACCATCTGGCTGGCATGGATGCAGTGCTGAGCGGGCACGCGTGAGCGGGTGGCCGGCATGGGCACTGTGCTGAGCGGGTGCGCGTGAGCGGGTGTGCTTACCATCTGGCTGGCATGCATACAGTACTGAGCGGGCGCGCGTGAGCGGGTGTCCTTGCCATCTGGCCGGCATGGGTACAGTGCTGAGCGGGTGCGCGTGAGCGGGTGTGCTTACCATCTGGCTGTCATGGATACAGTGCTGAGCGGGCGCGCGGGAGCGGCTGTTCTTACCATCTGGCCGGCAGGGTACAGTGCTGGGCGTGTGCGCATGAGCGGGTGTTCGTACCATCTGCCTGGCATGTGTGCAGTGCTGAGCGGGTGTGCGTGAGCGGGTGTGCTTGCGATCTGGCTGGCATGGATACAGTACTGAGCGGGCGCGCGTGAGCGGGTGTGCTTACTATCTGGCTGGCATGGATGCAGTGCTGAGCGGGCGCGCGTGAGCGGGTGGCCGGCATGGGTACAGTGCTGAGCGCGAGCGGGTGTGCCTACCATCTGGCTGGCATGGATACAGTACTGAGCGGGCGCGCGTGAGCGGGTGTTCTTACCATCTGGCCGGCATGGGTACAGTGCTGAGCGGGTGCGCGTGAGCGGGTGTGCTTACCATCTGGCTGGCATGGATACAGTACTGAGCGGGCGCTCGTGAGCGGCTGTTGTTACCATCTGGCCGGCATGGGTACAGTGCTGTGCGTGTGCGCATGAGCGGGTGTTCATACCATCTGGCTGGCATGTGTGCAGTGCTGAGCGGGTGTGCGTGAGCGGGTGTGCTTACGATCTGGCTGGCATGGATACAGTACTGAGCGGGCGCGCGTGAGCGGGTGTGCTTACTATCTGGCTGGCATGGGTACCGTGCTGAAATATCTGCGTTTGCAGCTGCCCGAAGGGGTAAAAACACACGAAATTGCATTTTGATCCACGGCGGAATATGAGCCGTGGACCAACTACCGCTAAACAATAAAACAGGGATCGTTACATGAAAAACACCTGAACATTGCCTTGCAAATGGTGTTGTTTCCCTGTATTTTGGTGTTGAAAAAGCACCATGTTTCAAATGGTTGCAAAATGAGTTTATTTTAAGCCCTGTAAAAGGATCTAAAAAGCGGAAGCGGATGCCTGGCTTCGCCACCAGGCTTTGTGGGAGCTCTAGCAACTCCGTGGGACCTCTCGCATGTTGCGAAAGTGGCCGAGCGAGCATCACACATGCCGCGTGAAAGAAAGTGGCAAGAGAGCCTGCGCCTGCTCCAAGAAAAGAACACTCCTATGGGCTGTCCGTTTTCAGATCCCCCGCAAGTGACGAACTTTTAGTGGGTTAAATTCGGAAATCCCACCACTACACACTCAAAAGCTGGATGGCTGGGAGCCACCAAGTCCTATAACTGTTTTTCCTTGAGCGCGTGAACCATGGAAGCAGAGGCCATGGAAGCCATTTCGCAGCCCGGGAACTGAGGAGTAGTCCCCCAGTTCTAAATGCCCAGGGTTGATGCTGTCCAAAACAAAACATCCAAGGTGCCAACATAGCTAGATGTCTGTTTCATATCTTCGAAGATTTGAGTTTGATGCTCATTACCTTTCTGGCAAAGTTATGCCAGGAACAACTGTCAGACTTTGGCGCCTGAGTGCGACATCTGCAGGCGCAGGCTTCTGCACATTGGGCGGGGTGACCTCCATGGTACCTCCCTGACA